ATTATCAATGTAGCTTAGTCATGCTAATTTCTTTTTTTTATGAGTTTAATTATCCCACCATTAAAATACCCTTAAATTTTATAATAAGTATGTAAACATTTTTTTTTCGATAGATATTTCATTCGTGTCCGTGAGCATGAGTAGCTGGGCCGAAATTGGCCCATGTCCTTTCATTTAAGTTTTTTTTTTTTTTTTTTTTAATCACACTATTCTCTACCACCCGTAACAGTACCCGCCCATACAAACTGAAAGAAACTGATATTATAAAATATTGAAATTCAATTTAATGCAATTATTGGTTGGATCTCGCATAACAAATTTAAATTTATGATCTGTTAATAGAACCCAGTGTGTGTCTCCTACAATTATGGTGGCCCTTTAATTAAATTTACCTGGGGGTGTATTTTGACCCGAAATTCGAGTCATGCTTAATTAAGGTAATATTGATGATATTAAAATTAATGAATGTAGATTTAAATGATATACGTTTTAGGCATCTATCATTATCTATCTATTTGGCACTATCATTATACAATCAGGCATCGCATGCATCAGGTATTTTCCAGCTATTCACTCCCACCACCGCAACTCCTGTCTAGCCAAAATCTAGAAAGTAGGTCGTGAGTGTCAAACAGTTAGGAAAAAAAAAAAAACACGTGTGGCACTCGGGGACTGCCGCGGTAAAGCTATTGTATAGCATTTTTATCAACTTATGCAATTATAATTAGGCTATAATAGTTTAATATTAAAACAATAATAAAATAAGACCACGCTATATTTATAAACATTAACAAAAGCAAAACATTAACTGTCTCCTTCACACTCATAAGCTAGACCGCGCAAGAGAGAGATGGGCAGACTTTTCATGATGCGCATGCAGTGCGACGTTACGCCGCGCGCTTATTAACAAACACTACACAAGCGCAACGTGTGAATGTGTTGAACGCGAGCTACATGGTAGGCGGAGTGGGGGTGTTAGGTTTTATTTTCGTTACGGAATTTCTTGATTCGGTCGCCGCGCTCAAAGCCGATAAAAGCTATGCAATAGCTTAATACCCTTTGTATGTCTTATTATTTTACTTTAGCATAACAGACAAGTCTCAATGTTAAGAAGTAAAGGATTTCCATGAAGCTGAGCACACTGCATCCTAGAAATAAACCAGCCATACCTCCGACAGCCACTGGAAGAACACAATTATATTTTAGTAAGTGCGTTCTGTGTGCTGACGACATTAAGCCAGACACGTGTCGGCCCGATCTATAAGCTTTCCCGTATAGATATGTATTAACTGCTTGCAAAAGACTTAAATTCATGCCAAATATTGCTTTCCTTTTATATGTATAACTAGCTTTTGCACGCCACTTCGTCCGCGTGGAATAGTTCACAATTAAAGCTTTATGGGTGCTCCACTTGTATTGGTCTTAGCGTAATATTATATAACCTATAAGCCTTCCTCAATAAATGGGCTATCTAACTCAGAAAGAATTTTTGAAATCGGACCAGTAGTTCCTGAGATTATTGCGTTCAAACAAACAAACTCTTCAGCTTTATAATATTAATAAATATAAGTAATACGTAATAAGTATAATTAAATTTAACGAATATTTTTCAAGCTTTACCACTCATGATGTCCATTGCAAAATATTTTCTTTTTATAAAACGCTCGTGGTAGGGCGTCTTGTCAGCCCGCAGGGGTGTGTTTCACCCCCTACCTATTTCTAGCACGAAGCATTTTTTATTTGAAGGGGTGGCCTTTGTACTATTGTTTTAAAATATTTTATAAAGGTATTCCAGATATGAGCAGCTAATACTCACAGAGGAAGGAGCTTGATTTTACTAAGTATTGATACTAAAACTCACCCAATACATCAGTGAAGCCAAAGATAATATCACGTCTGTATCGCATTCGAGGGTAGGTCACCATGCCCCATTGGAAATTCGTCCCCAAAAACCAAGGTTGTAGAGCCTGTTTCAATTTAAATTCAGTTAACGACTCTACATTCAACAGTTCCAAAGTATATTTTTCTTCTGTATTTTTTTATTTATTTTTTTAATTTTTTTATTGCTTAAATGGGTGGACGAGCTCACAGCCCACCTGGTGTTAAGTGGTTACTGGAGCCCATAGACATCCACAACGTAAATGCGCCACTCACCTTGAGATATAAGTTCTAAGGTCTCAAGTTTAGTTACAACGGCTGCCCCACCCTTCAAACCGAAACCCATTACTGCTTGACGGCAGAAATAGGCAGGGTGGTGGTACCCACCCGCGCGGACCCACAAGAGGTCCTGTCACAAGTAACTGTAGTTTATATGAACCTGTATGCTTCTGGTAGACAAGATAAAGTGCACTGATATCTCTAATACACGAATAATTGACTCCAACTGGGCATTGGACTCGTAGCTTTAAGCGGTAGGCAGCGGCTTGGCTCTGCCCATTGCATTGCTGATGTCCATTAGCGACGTTAACCACTCACCATCAAGAAGGCCGCTCATGTGCCTACATGGGCAATAAAAAAAAGCTTGTGGTACACTATTCATGGTTACATAGACGTATGATGAAAAAACACGAAGCTTAATAAGCGACTAGCGGTCTGCTTTTAAGCTGTCGATTCAGATACAACTATTCTCTAAATATATTTTTTCTGAACGAGTTCATGGCTCACCTCGTATTTATTGGTTACTGGAGCCCACAGGCATAATAACGTGAATAGGTACCGTCGCCCGCCTTGAGACGTGGGGTCTAAATATTAATTGTATCATATAACAACTGTCCCGCTTTCAAGGAGTAATGCACGATGGTCCACCATAGAATTGGGAAGGACGGTGCTATCTATCCTACATTTATGCCTTCACAGACATCGCGAACTTGAGACACGAAGTCTTATTAAATCATTTCTAACCCACCCTCCAAACNTAAACGCTTACGGTCTCGCAAATCAACGTGATCAGGATTGTGATTTTTAGTGTGACCATCGTATTGAGATTTTCTTAGTACAGGTGACCCTCCTTAAACCCACGCGTCGCGACCCTAAAATTGCAAACCATACATGATTAGGAATGACAGACTTACCGCTCGCGGTGATGGTACTCTCTGCGCTCGCTCACATCGAAGCATCAGTGTGCCGAATCTCACTGACGGGATACTCGCCGATCGTCATTGCGTCCGCTCATAAGAGTGTTCGATAAGATCGTTATAAGCAGTGATATCGAGGCGCTCGGCATGGATGCTCTGTCATTCTGGCGGGCGACCTGAATTGTAAGCACATCAGGTGGAACTCGCATACCACAATCTCCAACGGTAGACGTCCCGATCTCAACTTCGATATCGTCGTTCCGCTAATCTCGATTCACTGCCCGGGTCCTATTTTTCTAATGAAATACGTACTTAACAAATGTTCACGATTGACTTTCACTGTGAAGGAATAACATGGTGTAATAAAAATCAAAGCCGCAAAAATTAAAATTTTGTAAGTGGTAGGACCTCTTGCGAGTCCGCACGGGGAGGCACCACCACCCTGCCTATTTCTCCCGTAAAGCAGTAATGCGTTTCGGTTTGAAGGGTGGGGCAGCCGTTGTAGATGTCTCTGGGCTCCAGTAACCACTTAAAACCAGGTGGGCTGTGAGATCGTCCATCCATCTAGGCAATATAAAAAAAACGATGAAGTAGTTTCAGAGTTAGACTCAGACCACCGTCCCGTCGTTATGAAACTTGGTCGCGCTCCTGATTGACGTTCTCGTAACGGGAACGCGTCNTGCAGTTTTTGGACGACCTTGACGGGGATCATCACTGAGCTTGACACGTCCACGTTGAAACTCAGCAAACCAGCGATAAATTGTGGTTTTGGATGGGGCTTCATCACCAAATGCAGAAATTATCCGGTCAACACACTGTTTTTGTGTTAAACCACTTCGAAAGTCATAATAAATCATCGCTCTTGAATTTTCTCGAGTCAAGTCCATTTTCTCAACGACTAAACAAGTTTGACAAAACCTCGTGACAAGACCGAGAATCTTTTTTTAAATAAATAAATGGTATTCGAGTTTTAAAACCAAGGAGTTTTCAATTAAAAAGATTTTAATATGATAGGAACAGTGGAAATATTCCATTCCCGATACTTTTAGTGCAGCCCTCGTACTTTACAGTTTTCATGGTCACAGACGATTTTATTTGTATTGTCATTTCTTTTGTTTTCAGGAGTCGTAGATATAATTAAAACTAATTTTGCGGTTTAATCGTGCCTTTATTATTTTCACTTGTATTTATTTTTGCCGATTCAAATACTTTACAGTTTTGGTAGTCACTTACAACTAAGGTATTACGAGTGTTTGTGAACATCGGAATATTGTGCTAACGTCTTAATTTTGTATTAAAAGTGTTTCTGGATATTTATCTCTCTTTGCTTACATAAAGAATGAACGTTATCGTGAGGTCTATGTTAATGTTTCACTCGGGTTTTCATCTGAACAATAAGAGTTCTGTTAGATAAACTCCAACCGTTTTTTTAACCATTTTTAATGCAATGATATCGCGCACTACAAATGGTTTCAACTTAGTTTTCTTTAGCAAGTATTGAGATTTTGTTAAATCACATAAAATATCTGGCACCGTTTGTATGTGTTGTTATTTTAACTTAGATGGGTGGACGAGCTTACAGCCCACCTGGTGTTAAGTAGTTACTGGAGCCCATAGACATCTACGACGTAAATGCGCCACCCACCTTGAGACATAAGTTCTAAGATCTCAAGTATGATTACAACGGCTGCCCCCTTCAAACCGAAACGCAATACTGCTTCACGGCAGAAATAGGCAGGGTGGTGGCACCTACCCGCGCGGACTCAAGAGGTCCTACCACCAGTAACGAAGTAAATTCTTGGTTTTATAAAGATTAAAATACCGGGTACAGCAGTGGATCCCTATACGCTGATAATCTTGATGGTAATGATTAAAAAAAAGCTGATATAAAAATTGTACCCCGCGTTCGTGCGCTAATATTTTCAGGGAGAAATCAGTGTGCTTATTGAAGAGGGAATCCACCGAAGGGCGCATACTATTCAATACAGAGGAACACATCATATCTATAGAGGTCATCACCGCCGATGAAAGCATCATAGTTATATGTACAGACAACACGATGTCATGTTACACCAAAAAGGCATGTATCTCCAATGGACAAAGCTTATTAATTCGCTTTTATTAGCTTCAGACGTATGTATGTTCGTATGTAACGAAATTTTTGAACATGATTTTGACCCCGTTCAAAAGGTCGGATTAACTCGAAATTTGGTATACTTATTAAGGACCGATGACAAATGAATATAAAAAAAAAAATTGAAAAATTTTTAATTCAACTAAAAAATGAAAAATAAATTTTAATAAATTTGAATTAAAAATAGTGTTAAGAAAAAAATATTTTATTGTAAAAAAAGAAGCGTGGGGTGCTTAGTAGTTATAAATATATAATGAACAGATATGAGTATATCCTGAAAAGTACCCCACGCTTTTTTACAATAAAATCATTTCTTATTTTTTTATTATTAAATTTTTATTACTTTTTTTAAACTATTATTTATTTTTGCATTGTTACATTCTGAACTAAACGTAATTGTTCAGGGTAAGAAGCAGTGGTGCGTCAACTTGGAGCACAGGCCGATATCGATGACTCTGGTGCCGGTACTGCATTTGGGAGTCACCTTAGTGGGGGTGGCGCTGACTTCAGGGCATGTCCACTTCTATGAAGGGAAAGCGCGTTTGGACACATTGTTTGTTAGAGGTAGCTGGCTGTTTTTGGAGATGTTCTCTATGAAAGCGCCACCTGATTTCTTCCGGTGGGCGTCGTAAAGGTTTCGAGGGATGTACTGGTGCTGGGACCTCTTGTGAGTCCACGCAGGTAGGTACCACCACCCCGCCTATTTCTGCCGCGAAGCAGTAATGCGTTTCGGTTTGAAGGGTGGGACAGCCGTTGTAACTATACTTGAGACCTTAGAACTTATATCTCAAGGTGGGTGGCGCATTTACGTTGTGGATGTCTATAGGCTCTTCTTAATATCAGAGCATCTGAGTCTGTCTGAACGGTTGCTCCAAAGCGTTAATGTGATGATTATATTACGTTTTTTACCAAATCCAACTGGCGATTTAAATAGCAAATTGAGTTTTAATCAAATTGTATTTTTTTTCCTCAGGCGCTTACGCTGATTTCGATCTGCTTTATTGTGCTAATATAGTCTTGCTTCAGGATTCCATTGATCCGCGTTAATAAAAATATAATATTTTCACCTCAGCCATAAATTGGACATTGTTCAGCCATAAATTTGAAACAATCGTATTTTACTATGCTCTGTCTCTTTCACATGCATATAAAAAAGCGAGTGAAAAAACAAACCCCTTCGAAATTTGATTTTGGAATTCGATCTCAAAGAAAACTCGTTCGGAAACACGTAATACCCTAAAATTTAAATATATTTGTATAATCAGAATGTAATTGTAAAGAAATCACGTTTTTTTTAAATAGTTATATCAATCTATTCCTGTTGATTTCTATGTTTCCTAAGTAATATGTGTTCTCACTGCTGAGGTGAAAAGTTATGTGTGCTACACGAGGGTAATTTTTTTTGCATCTCGTGCTGTTGAGTCCCTCACTCAGGATTCTAAAATTGAATCACTCGCTACGCTCGTGAATCAATCATAGGATCCTTCGCTTGCTCGGGACTCAAAATCAGCACTGGAAACAAAAAACAACTTTGCTCTCTTGTTGCACAAATAACTATTGTTCGAATTATGGTAGGCAGCGGCTTAGCTCTGCCCCTGGCATTGCTGACGTCCATGAGCGACGGTGACCACTTACCATCAGGTGGGCCGTATGCTCGTCTGCCTACAAAGGCAATAAAAAAAAAAAAAAAAAGAATTCTTACAATGCGTTTGTGAGCCCTTTTAAGACATTAATTAGATAATAGGTGAAGCGCATTGAGGCACGGTGAAGTTCAACCGCCCTGCCTTTTACTGTCCTGAAGCAGTCATGCCCTCCACTTTCTAGAGCGACCCAGCAAATACGCAATTGAAAATTCGACCTTATGTCTTAGGTACGTGGGTTGGTTACGGTATTCCACTGACTGTACAGTTATTTAAGATGTTTATTCTGGTTTAGATGTCGCTTCGGTGATGAGGTTCGGTCGGTTGGGTCAAGAGGAGCACGTGCTCATCGTTGTGACCGGCAGTGAGTACATTTTGTAATTTTTTATTTTATTGCTCTTGTAGGCAGACGAGTATACGGGTGGTGGTGGTGAGTGGTTACCGTCGCCCATGGACGCCAGCAGTGGAGTAACTAAACTAAAGTCGGATCTATTTAGTGCAATGATTGCTTTGTACAGATTATTTTTTAACGACACGTGTCCTGGTCTCAAAAACAAACTAGTATCCAAGTTCCTTTGCTTATAATTGATGAGAGAATGTCATTCTGATTACATTGCGCAGTCTGTTCTATGTATTTATATTTTTTGCATTGCCGCGCTCTACTTTTTTAATTTTTTTATAGTTTATAATTTTTATTTATAATTTTTTACTATATAAATATGTGCATTATTTCTTATTTAGTAATCTGTGAAGTTAGTAGTGTGTGTAGTTAGCTCTTGTTTTCATGTTGTTTTCAAATATATATATTGCTGTAACATGTCATAGTGTGTTATAAGAGATTGTTGTACATGCCTGTAACTGGCTTACATACCAGTACCTTATTTTATACATGTTAATTTTAAGCTTGAATGTTTTGTGTGTATTGCTGTTGGTGTGTCTAAATAAAAAAAAAAAAAAAAAAATTACAACACCAATAGTTTCGATCTCGTTGATGTGTTATCGGAGCTTTATAAGCCCGTTACAAGAAGACTGTCAAAAAGTGTTATTTGTCTATATATTAATACGTGAAGCAAAAACTTAGTATCCCTTTTTACGAAAATTGCGCGGACGGAGGAGTATGAAATTTTCCACACTTATAGAGAATATAGAGAAGAAATGCACAATGCTAATATTTGTTTAAAATAATACATAAAAGATACATTAAATCAATAAAGAAAAAAAAACGAAGTAAAAAAACCTGAAATCGCTTGGATTGAATAACATTAGAACTACCCAGATCGAGCTCCGTGAGCTCAACTACCAGTCCGTGAGTAGCTACAATAGCCCCTTAAGCTACAAGCGACTAGAGAGAGGAAAAACATGGATTACTAAAATTGATTCTTTCAAATTGGACGTGTTATTTTACGCGTTAAAGAAATAATGGAGTTGGTGATATCAAATCGTATTCTCTGATCACGTTACGAATATAATAAATTAATGTAGATTTTGGCGATCGTTCAGGGATGAACAATCCTTATGTGTTACAGTGTGATAAATCTATATATTAATACGTGAAGCAAAAACTTTGTACCCCTTGTTACAAAAATTGCGCGGACGGATTTTTTAAAATTATGTATTAATGATACATTAAATCAATAAAAAAAACATTACACACACTACCATGTATTTGTGACATACACACACACACAAACACACATATAATACATATACTCTTTGTTTATTGTCAACCTTTTGTTATTGCTTATAGTCTGTGGTCAAATTGAGAATAGGTTAATATTATTTGTCTTTAATATTATTTGTCCTGAGTGTAGTCTTGGCGAAATCTGTGATTATAGAAGTATACAATATAACCATAATAATGTTCAAACTTATAATTTCAATTAATTATAGTCGAATTTCGGCTACTGCGGGACCACTAGTAACAATAGAACCGTTTTAAGCGTGCAGTTTTAATTTTTGTTTCTCGAATGGCTTGATGCCGGTTCGGCCGATGGGCCGCAAGCTCATCGTCCGTTTTGGGTTTTGCTTTAAAGGCGGGAACCTGATGTTGAAGATCTTGAAGCGCACGGCGGATTTCAACAGCAGCGCGGCCGGAGTCGAGCCGGCGCCCTCCGCCGCCGCCGGACACAAGCCCTGGCTGATACCGAAGAAATCAAAACTGTTTCTAGAACAATCGGCGAGGGAGCGAGAAAATGCCGTCCGTAAGTTTCATGTAATAAAATTTAAACTTACTGGTGGTAGGTCCTCTTGTGAGTCCGCACGGGTAGGTACCACCACCCTGCCTATTTCTGCCGTGAAGCAGCAATGCGTTTCGGCTTGAAGGATGGGGAAGCCGTTGTAATTATACTTGAGACCTTAGAGCTTATACCTCAAGGTGAGTGGCGCATTTACGTCGTAGATGTCTATGGGCTCCGGTAACCACTTAACACCAGGTGGGCTGTAAGCTCGTCCACCCAAAAAAAAAACATCGGATCGGATCGGAAACGCGACCCACTGAGAAGATCCGGCGAGAAACTCAGTGGGCTGTGTCTGTGGGTTAATTTACCCGTCGAGCCCTTCGTCGTAAACGACGGGTTCGACGAGGACGGTGACCGGTGCTTGAGGTACCTAAAAGCAGCGTTAGTGGATCGGGAGGATCCGAAATGACGTGCTTAGAGCGACGTCGACTGTTTACCATTCGGTCTACAGAATCGGGTAATTACCTGTGCACTGTAATTTCCGTTATTAAAAAACAAAACTTGGAAAGAAATTAATTATTTATTGATTTTCGTACACCATTTGCTCGCCTCCTTTACTCCAACACTTATATAAATTAAGACTTCAATATGTTGCTCTGAAAAAGCAGTGTTTTATTTATTTCGATTATAATACATAACAAACAAAAAATCTAGTACTATTACTAGATTAACTTGTAAAAGCATAGTAAAAACATTTAAAGTCATACAAAAGGGAGAGTAATATTTCTGTGTGCTTAGTGCCCTTCGTTTGCCGCTAGGGGCGCTGTTCCAACTCCATACAAATTTGATTTAAGTTTTACGCAATCAAGAAGTTAAAAAACTCCTAGTACTAAATGAACTGAATGAACATCTCAACTATGTCTGTAGGTTTTTTTTTACCTAACATAAAAAATAACCAGTAAATTCTCGGTTATTGCCATATATTGTGTTTTCATAGTTCATAACGTAATTTTCGTAAATAATTTTAAACATAAATCAATCGTTATCGTGTTGTAGAGAAATACCGTGTTATAAGCTAGTTTTGGGGAATTTTTCTTTTCGTTTTAAGAGTGGAACTGTGTTTTAAAACACCGTGTTATGGTAAGGTTATCTGTATTACTTATCTGGTACTAGTATCCAAATTTTCTTTCAGCTATGCACGAGGCTTTTCAATTAGAATTGAACAGATTGAGGTTGCTGGCCACAAGAACGCTCCTGGATGCTCACGCCAAATCCGAGAATTTCATGGGAGTCGGGGCCATGGAGCCCATAGGACTGACGGCTGAGGTGAGACTACTGCGGAGGGTGGAATTTATACCGGATAACCAAAGAAAAACTTTTTTCATGTAACGTATCTATATGTAAAAAATGACTAGGGTTCTACGTAATGCGATACCAGCGACTTAGATCTCATGGCTCGAGGTTGGGGTTTGGCCATTCACGCTGTTCACACAATTCAGACACGATTCACACACAATTCAGCAAGTGACACCTCGTATGAGTTTGAAAAAAAAAGAAAACGCTATGATGTCTATTGAATCAGATAACTGTTTAACCATAGATAATACACATAAATTAATTATAGATAAGCAACTCACTCAACAAAAATGTTTACGGGCGTCGGCCACTAGATGGCCTCGCTTCGATTAGTTTCTCATTGCTCCTATAGATGGCAGTAACATATTTTATTTTTAATGAAGGACTTTGTAAATTTTCTGAAACCACAAATTGATATAATTTGTCTGTAACAAATAAAGGCTTAAGACCAATCTTAGTTAACTAAATAGACGCAGAACCGATGACAAAACAATAATTTTAATATTTCGACTAAGGTTTTTTTTTACTAAAATGAGGGGTTTTGTAGGTTGAAGGTCTGGGCCCCGTGTTCCGGGTGACGCTCTTCGTGGAGAACAAGTCAAAGGAGCGAGCGGTAGCGGGGCTCGCGGTACTATTCCACGCGCACACCGCCCACTACAGAGTAACGAATCCATACATTAAGGTGCGTATTGAGTAGGGAGTTTTGTACTAATACAGTTGTGACTTAGACCTCACATTCCCGGATCTTTTTTTTTATTGCGTATATGGGTGGACGAGCTCACAGTCCACCTGGTGTTAAGTGGTTACTGGAGCCCATAGACATCTACAACTTAAAAGCGTCACCCGCCTTGAGATATAAGGTCTGAGGTCTCAGTATAGTTACAACGGCTGCCCCACCCTTCAAACCGCAACGCATTACTGCTTCACGGCAGAAATAGGCAGGGCGGTGGTACCTACCCGCGCGGACTCACAAGAGGTCCTACCAACAGTAAGTATCGGCGTTTACATGAGTCTATGCAGGAAACGTTATATATGACGGATTGGCTGGTTCCATAGTGTCCAAAATGATGACATCATTCTCTTCATCATTATCATAACTTTCCATGGTGACAGTAATTACGTCTCAATTTTCCAATGAATTCCTTTTATTACATTTCATGTGTACAGCGATAACAACAGAGAGCTCCGCTCCGTTCGACTGATCGTGCCGGAATGTTTTGTGCGACAATAATCACTCGTATTTATGGTAGAAAGTAGCTTAGTCATGAATTCTCTTGAATACCGTCTTAAACAGTTGTTGACATGCGCAACATTAAAAAAACAGTTAACTTTAACTAATTTTAATTAACTAAAGAGTGACGTTGCGCAAACATCTATATATCTTCTATCTCTATATATAAAAATGAATTGCTGTTCGTTAGTCTCGCTAAAACTCGACAACGGCTGGACCGATTTGGCTAATTTTGGTCTTGAATTATTTGTGGAAGTCCAGAGAAGGTTTAAAAGGTCTAGATAAATACGAAAATGCTCGGTTTTAAATAAAAATAACAATTTTATTTTTCCTTTGATGTGTATGATTTAAGTTTATTTTATACAAAAGTTTAGGTCTTTTATCGATTGAGGCACTACGAAGTCTGCCGGGTCAGCTAGTATACAATATATTTATTTGTCGCGAGGCTTAGGGGAAACCTATGTCATTCGTTCGAAACGTTTTATTACGAAGTTTTAAACTTCGCCTTAAACGTGTTATTTCGTATTTAATTACTTAACTAAGTTCGTGTAGGATTTGAGTTGAGTGTAGTTCATAAATCTAACTGTTGGTAGAGAGAGACAGAGAGAGAGAAAGAGTTGTTCCCCCAATACGATTTAGACCTTATGTCTAAGTCAATCGAAGATATAGAAGTAAGTCCTGAGCTGATTACATAATCATAAATATATTATAAGGTTAGATAAATAATGACAGATAAACTTAATAAATAATATTATCGGATTAGAGCTGTGAATGTATATTTTTTTAATCCTAACTTTTTCCTTGTAATTTTTGAAAAGCTGACTGTTTTTCAATTGTTAATTAAATGGGGTCGCTCTTCCTTGTTCGAGTGATCTGTGTTACGATCTCACCACCGTCTGCAAAACAATAATTATGTATATTTACAAATGAATCTGGTCGTTGTAATGTCGGAATAACAGTTTTTTTTTTACTAAATGCATATGAAAACATACACTATCATATTATTAGTAAAACACATTACATTTTACATTTTTTTTGAATTGTTCCTTTTGTAATTTTATTTAATAAATGATTTGTAGAATATCACAAAAGACTAATGGTAATTTAAATTAAAATATTAGTTTTTAATTAGTATCGCTGGTTTTTTGTCAGCACTATTGCTTTTTTTTTGGAACTAGGCAGATGCTTTGACATTCATTAAATATTCTTTGATTACGTTTAAGCTGAACTAGGCATCTCTACGAGAATTGCCGCCACTTTCCCGCGCAAGATTTTTCAGTTTTTCGATCACGTTGCGAGGAAAAAGGGTGACAATCTCGAAAAACCACTCGTTACCGGCAAAGTGGAAGGAAAGAAAGAGGCCACGGGGGTTCATGGGCTGGTCCGATCAAATTAAGACGACATTGGACTCCAGCATCAATGTCGCTATCCATTGCGCCGAGGACAGAAATGAATGGAGGAACATTTCTTCTCAGTCGTTTGCACTCTTGGCAGAGCAGTCGTTGTCATTTTTAACCCATAGACACAGCCCACTGAGTTTCTCGCCGGATCTTCTCAGTGGGTCGCGTTTACGATTCGGTGGTAGATTCTGCGAAGCCCTGCTCTTGCTAGGGCCAGTGTTAGCAACACTCCGTTAGTTTGAGCTCCGTGAGCTCACCTATATGTTAGGCAAAGCTGAAATAGCCTCTAAGGCTATCAGCATAGATAGGAGAATGTGGTCATCAGTTCAGGTGGTGGTGCGCTACACAAGACGTCGCCATTCCTCGCGTACCGCGGCCCTTGTCCACTCGTTAACAGAAACTTTTTTTTTTTTTTTTAGTTGCTTAGGTGTATGGACGAGCTCACAGCCCACCTGGTGTTAAGTGGTTACTGGAGCCCATAGACATCTANTTTTATTGCTTAGATGGATGGACGAGCTCACAGCCCACCTGGTGTTAAGTGGTTACTGGAGCCCATAGACATCTACAACGTAAATGCGCCACCCACCTCGAGATATAAGTTCTAAGGTCTCAGTATAGTTACAACGGCTACCCCACCCTTCGAACCGAAACGCATTACTGCTTCACGGCGGAAATAGGCGGGGTGGTGGTACCTACCCGTGCGGACTCACAAGAGGTCCTACCACCAGTTTGGCTTTGGAGCTTCCTTTATTTATTCGACCGGTCCATCGTAACGGTGATCTGTCGCGCCGCTTTGTACCCTCTATCATGCCTATGGAGTTACATAGTCCGAACAAAATGCTCCGTAAAGATCTCACTGAGCCACTCAGAAACACGATGCAAGGAGGAGGAGAATTTAAGCTGACATTTTATTTTATTTTTATTGCTTAGATGGGTGGACGATCTCACAGCTCACCTGGTGTTAAGTGGTTACTGGAGCCCATAGAAATCTACAACGTAAATGCGCCTCCCACCTCGAGATATAAGTACTAAGGTCTCAGTATAGTTACAACGACTACCCCACCCTTCGAACCGAAACGCATTACTGATTCACGGCGGAAATAGGGCCGGGCGGTGGCACCCACCCGCGCGGACTCACAAGAATTCCTTCCAACAGTAATCAATGACATTAATCTGTCAAAACTAATTCACCGTTCACGTGCAGGTACCGTTAATATCTCCGGGAGGGAAATTAAAATTTCCAACGAAGATCGAAGAGGTATTCGAGGAGAACATAAATCCTGATGTGTTCTTTCGTCCTGTGACCGGACAGGCCGGGGACCGCGCGCTGGTCAAAGTGTTACTGCTGAAAGAGGACAGGAAGAGGCCCGTACTGGCGGCCACAGTTCAGATGCCTCCGACCGATCCGATGATGTTGCCATTCGAGAAAATACAATCCGGTTACCAGAATAACGCTGTCGATTGGGAAATAGAACGAAAAAATTGAATAAGATGTAGTATTATAATAAATAAAGCGTTTTATTTCTTCTCTTGTTTATTGTAGCTATTTGGGTATATTTATTTATTTTCCAAAAAAAAACTGACTTAAGTACTTGACTAATGTTTTTTCCATAGCACGCAATGTATCACAAATGCTTTAAATTATTGATAAGGGGTGTTGTAAGTACGAGTAAGTTTCACCTGTCTTTTTCTACCGCAAACTACCGCGTTCAGGTTTGAAGGATTGGTACAGCTGTTGTACAATGGGAATTCGATCTTGTGCCACAAGGCGGATGGTGGTAATCGCTTAATGATGTGTATAGTCTGTTTATCCTAGGAAAAAAAACAATAAAATAAACATAGACATCAAGTGACGCATAATGCATAATGGTAGGCGTAAATGCCGCCACTACTTTGAGATATGAGTTCTAAGGTCTCAGTATAGCTACAATGGCTGCCCCACCCTTCAAACCGAAACGCACTACTGCTTCACGCCACAAATAGGCAGGGTGGTGGTACCTACCCGTGTGGACTCACAAGAGGCTCTACCACCAGTTATTACGCAAATTATAATTCTGCGGGCTTGATTTTTATTACCCTATGTTATTCACCGTGGAAGTCACCGTGGAAATTACTCATTTCTCCCAACCACAATTCACTATAAGACAATCAATTAGTAACATAAGCGGTGGAGTTGTGGTGACCTCTAATACAGGTGCCACAGGCATCAGTAATCTGGAATCGAAGCGGCTGCTGTTTATTAAATTTAATGATTGCGTATAGGTAACTACGAATCATATTTTTGTTTGTGGCGAGGATAACAAATTATTATTGTTTGGCCGCAAGCCGTCGCGCTTTAAGAATGAAGTTTTGTTCTCGAGGTAGTCCGTGTTGGTTTTAATGTACATCTTCCTATCGCCCAACTTCATCACTTCATCATACTTAGGACTTTTACTACCCGGTCCATAAGCACAGGTGTAATCGTTTACCTAAACGTCACTGATATACGGCACACTTATAAATAAAACGAATTTGAACGGATAAGATAAACTGGTGCCTTAGTGGCCGGGGCTTATCGCTGCCCAAGCTGTGATAAGCGATGATAATGATGCCCCTGAAAACGGACGTTATTTGATAACGAATTGAAAAACCCCAAAAAAAATAGAGTCGTTGATTTTTTTTTCCCCACCAATTCGCTGGTAGTTTAAGGGGCCATTACAGCTTTGCGCGGACTGGTAAATGAACTCATGGGCTCAATTTAAGAGAATATGCTAATACTACCCCTAGTAAGAGCAGTGCTCCGCAAAATCTGCGACCAGATCGACATTGCGACCCACTGAGAATATCGGACGAGAAACTCAGTGGGCTGTGTCTATAGGTTAGTTCGTCGTCAACGACACAATTGCTTGGAGCGAAAACATTTCATTAGTACTTAGTTGGCTAATGATAATATTTATATAGCATACTCCTCTGCCAACAAAAACAATAAAAAACCTAATCAAACATTATTTACGATCAAATTCTACAAAAAAAAAACCCTCACTTCTCCAGAGAAAAAACTGTAAGGGGTAGCTTCCAAAAATTTAAGAGTTCGGAAAAAACATTGTCACCACAAAACCTCAAACGCGATTAATTTAAGTTCAATGTTATCACAATGTCATTGTATTATCATTAGGTAGGTATTACAAAAGATATGAAGAAACTTCACTCGTTTTAATTTCAAATAATTCAACAACTTGTCATAAGGGTCTACCCTGTCCCTCCTAGAGAGCTCCGTCGAATCTAAATAACATTACGGGGGTTAAAATGGTTTTTTTTTGTGGATATCATATTATTCATGGATAATTATACTTTAATACTACTATCATCCTTTCGTCGCTTTTCCAATACCGCACGAATCAGATGGATTCAATAACTAATATAGCGTATCGTATTTATGGATGGCATCAAATAAATCTGTCAAAATTCTTCGAATTCATTCCGTTTTCTTTCACTTCGTTAAAAAGTAAATAAATTTGAATATGAAACCCCCACTATTGATTTTCATCTAAGGTGCCAGTGGAAAGAGAAACCCCTGAACAGAGCAGTCTGGAGAGACATACTGGACCAGGTTAAGGCCCACCCTGGGATGTAAGGCTTATTATGATGATGATGATGAAACCTCATAAAAAAATTTGAAATCCGTGATCAGGCTTGGGCTGTAGAGTGTGAAAGTCGTGGCCTAAAAAATAAGACGTCCGGTGTATTCGTGTTGAGCGATACACTGGTGTTTGAATTCCAGGCGGGTACCAATTTTTCTAATGAAATACGTACTCAACAAATGTTCACGATTGACTTCCACGGTGAAGGAATAACGTCGTGTAATAAAAATCAAACCTGCAAAATTATAATTTGCGTAATTGCTGGTGGTAGGACCTCTTGTGAGTCCGCGCGGGTAGGTACCACCACCCTGCCTATTTCTGCCGTGAAGAAGTAATGCGTTTCGGTTTGAAGGGTGGGGCAGCCGTTGTAACTATACTTGAGACCTTAGAACTTATATCTCAAGGTGGGTGGCGCATTTACGTTGTAGTTGTCTATGGTCTTCAGTAACCACTTGACACCAGGTGGGCTATCTAAACAATAAAAAATAATTAGACCAAAGAATTAGACACGCATACAAATACATTAACCTCCTTCGACAGTCTAATAATTTAAAAAAAATCCCGCACACCTGCCACAATCATAATTACACACATAACAGATTATAATCACGATTAATTTCAAAGGATTAATTTGTCAATTACGCAATGAACAAGATATGAACAAGGATTTCACTATCGTACTGATACGTGGAGTAGTTTATTGGAACCCCCTACGTCGGAAAAAAATCCAGCTGAATTAGAAATCAGTAATGATGACGCATTCTCATTGCAACCCTTTGAGTTTTTCGTCGGATCTGATCGGTGAGTTGCGATTCCGATCCGGCGGTAGATTCTGCGAAGCACTGCTCTTGCTACGGCTAGTGTTAGCAAATTCTCTCAGGTTGAGTACGTGAGCTCACCTACCCATCCGCGCGTAGTTGGAATAGCCCCTAAGGCTACCAGCAAATTCTTCTTCTGAATCGGTCTCTTTATTGGTGAAGGTTTGAAATGTTGACCACTCGATGCATCGAGTATTTTTTTATTTATTGCTTTGATGGGTGGAAGAGCTTACAGCCCACCTGGTGTTAAGTGGTTACTGGAGCTCATAGACATCAACAACGTAAATGCGCCACCCACATTGAGAAATAAGTTCTAAGGTCTCAGTAAAGTTATAACGGCTGCCTCACCCTTCAAGCCGAAACGCATTACTGCTTCACGGCAGAAATAGGTGGGGTGGTGGTACCTACCCGTGCGTACTCATAAGAGTTCCTACCACCAGTAAAGCTTCCCCACGTCTGCCTGTCCTCGGCGGTCATGACCAGGGAATAGGTACGGAAAAAAATCATACTGACTCGCAGAAATAGGCAGAATTGCAGCATGGATTTTTAATAAATAATCTTATTACTTTATCGTGCAAGTCGTCCATAAACGTGACATCAGTGGATTATACAATAATGCACAAGAAAAAAACAAAATGTACATTGAAATTTACATTGAATTTACGGGTGGTAGGACCTCTTCTGAGTCCGCGCGGGTAGGTACCACCACCCTGCCTATAACTGCCGTGAAGCAGTAATGCGTTTTGGTTTGAAGGGTGAGGCTGCCCTTGTCACTATACTGAGATCTTAGAACTTAGGTATATTTCAAGGTGGGTGACGCATTTACGTTATTGTTGTTATGGGCTCCAGTAACCACTTAACACCAGGTGGGCTGTGAGCTCGTCCACCCATTTAAGCAATAAAAAAGAACTAATTAATAGGCAGGCATTATTTGTATTAGACAATGGACGGTCTTGTCGCTAAAAGCGGTTACTTCGTCAGTCGTTTTCGTATAGATCGATTCTGGAAAATATTTAGTAGATTTGTTGCTATGTACTATGATTAACACTACTCCAATAAATAGTTGTATCATAATAGAAAAACAATTTTGAAATCAGTAACTATTTAAACTAGTACAATGTGCAATTAATTAATCGCTTACATATTTAAATGAAAATAATCTTTTTTTTTCCCTACCTATGCTGATAGCCTTGAGAGGCTATTTCAGCTTCACCCTAACGTTTGTAGGTGAGCTCGCGGGGTTAAACCGGAGAGTTGAAGAGAACACCACTGAGAAGATCCGGCGAGAAACTCAGTGGGCTGTGTCTATGGGTTAGTTCGCTCGTCGAGCCCTTCGTCGCAAGCGACGGGTTCGACGAGGACGGTGACCGGTGCTTGTGGTGCCTAAAAGCACCGTTAATGGATCAGGAAGATCCGTAATGACGTGCTATGGGCGACGTCGACGGTTTACCATTCGGTCTACTGGGTCGGGTATGTAGTATCCAGCGGTTACGATGAGAGGGTTCTCATGCCGTGCCGCCTTCTCAAAATGGCGCAGCGATGCCGACTGTAGATACTTAAAATAATTGTGCGTGAATACCTAGGTATATAAAAAAAACACCTAAAAATTTGCAAATTATACAACTCAATAAAACGTCAATGAATCAACAAACTATAAATATCGTGGTAGTCATTAAATTTAAAAAACGTGATGAGAAACCTTTAAATAATAAGTGTTTACAACAAAGTGTAAATATACAATAAATCGACTACGTCTGCGTCTTAAACAAAAAGCCAGTGGGGTTGATTACTTTTAGTGATAAGTCAAGATACGTTTTTATTATTATTAATTGCTTAGATGGGTGGACGAGTTCACGGTTTACCTACTTTTAAGCGATTGCCACCTTGAAACATGAGTTCTAAGCCTCTGTTTTAAAGTACAACGAATGCCCCGCCCTTCAAACCGAAACGCATTACTCCTTCATGGCAGAAATACGCAGGGTTTTGGGCAACTATCTCCAAATTATAGTATTGCCGGCTTTTTGGGATTTGGGGACCATTCATTGTACAATTTAATATAGAAGTACCGTTTATTTTTTAAGATTTAACTTTTAGCTTATCTAACGTTTGCACTATCATAAGATAAGGCATTACCGATCAAAATTAATGACATATCTAAAGTTTCCTTTAAAAAAATATAATTTGGTAGATAAATAAAAAGATAACCTTAAAATTTATATATTTGTCGTTGCCTAGCCAGAAATGGGTCGAGTGGACACTTTATTTGTCGACACTTTATCGTTTATCGACCAGATTATCGTATCGTAGAGTAGGAAATTTCCGAACACTCCCTCAAGACTTCGTGAAGATAATTTTAGCACACCAAAAACGATAGCGGTTCGCAAAACCTAATAATTATTATCTTGAGTGTTAGGACATGTTGCAAGCCCGAACGTGTGAATAACACAATTCTGCTTATTTTTGCGGCAATGCAATCGTGCGTTATAATTTCAAATGATACCGCCATTTTTTTTAAATCCTACCTAAGCTGATAGCCTTGAGAGGCTATATCAGCGTCGCCTTAACTAGTAGGTGAGCTCACGGGGCTCAAACCTGATGACGTTGCTAACACGAACCCTAGCAAGAGCCGTGCTTCGTAGAATCTACCACCGGATCGGAAACGCGACCCACTGAGAAGATCCGGCGAGAAACTCAGTGGGCTGTGTCTGAGGGTTAATTTACTCGTCGAGCCCTTCGTCGCAAGCGACGGGTTCGACGAGGACGGTGAAGGGCCACATTTCTGGCAATTGATTGCTAGTTCCTTTACAGTATATTTTTCAGATTTTCTCTTCACGCATGTCTGCTATCATTTTAATGTACGTCACAGTTTTAAGAAAATATATCAATAAGCTAGCTACCTATTTATTATTGTGAGTTGCAAATTATTTTGCTCAAGAATATTATAAAGCTGATTGCTTAAGTTGGGTAAACGTGCTCATTCCACCTGGTGTCAGGTGGTTCCCGGAGTACGTAGACGTCATAGTTTGAAAGGCGCCTCTCGTCTTCAGTCACGAGGTCTAAGCCTCTGTTGAATTAGAAGTCGTCGTGGCTTTAGGGATAATACGTCCGGTAAGACGAGCTCACAACCCACCTGGTGTGAAGTGGTTACTGGAGCCCATAGACATCTACAACGTAAGTGCGCCACCCACCTTGAGACATGAGTTCTAAGGTCTCAAGTATAGTTACAACGGCTGCCCCACCTTTCAAACCGAAACACATTACTGCTTCACGGCAGAAATAGGCAGGGTGGTGGTACCTACCCGCGCGGACTCACTAGAGGGTCCTACCACCAGTAATTACGCAAATTATAATTTTGCGGGTTTGATTTTTATTACACGATGTTATTTCTTCACTATGGAAGTGAATAATTGTTGAGTACGCATTTCATTAGAAAAATTGGTACCCGGCTGCGGGATTCGAATACCGGTGCATCGCTCAACACGAATGCACAGGACGTCTTACCCTTTAGGCCACGACGCATTTACGGTTTCGACGGTTTCTACCTAATCCCTTGAGAACTGGAGGTCTTGTCATCCGTCCTAGAATTGGTGGTTTGTGGCCGGAGTACTCACACTGGGGTGTTGTGGGCATATATATGAGCTCATTAATGATTAACTGCTCATTAACATTAACACTGAAAAGTGCAAAATAGAACAAACGGTTGTAACAGTGCTGTTGTTTTTTAAAATAATATCACAAAGAAATTAATTATCGGTAAATTATTAAATTACAGAATATTTTTTATGTTATCTAAGATACGTTTTAAGCTTTAAAAGCGATAACGTTGCAGTGATTGGATAGGGTTGGCATTTGGTAGTTTACTTTGAAATTCAATAATTATTATGTTATGTTCATCCAATTTGCTGTAAATAATCTTGAATGAATTAGACGTGCAGCGCTATATTACTCGTGTTTAATTAGTAATAAAAATAATGAACATAAGATTAATTATTTTCAAAATTGCCAATTGAAAGTCGCAATTTCAAATGACTCAGATACAAGGTTTAAGTTAGGTACATATATTTTGTAAGGAATTTATTTTATACATTTAAATATAGGAATTAGCTTTATTATCTCTATGTGCTTACAACTACTTATCAATTCACTAACAGCATTCATCAAGGCCACCGTTGCACCTGCTGCCTGGGGGTAGCTCATAACTACATACATATCTGATGAAAACTAATACGCTAGTCCACAGGCTGTTTCCAGGGAGTAGTATTCACCGGTTATTTTAAACTGAAATAAGTTTTCCCGTCAATGTTTTTGTAGTTAGGAATAATGATATATACAACGACTGTCACAACCTTCAAATCGGACGTAATACTGCTTCACGACAGAAATGGGTGATATTTTATCCATGTGTAGATATAACGACGAAAAGAAGATCTTCCACTGAGAGGGTGATGGGGGGAGGATGATGATGAGGGTGAGGTTGCTCGGTAGACCGGTGGTCCAAATATTGTTGTTCAGAACTTGTATATATGCAAGTTTATTTTGAAAATGTCGTAAGCGGTATTCAGGCATCTGTCAAATATCTTGCGTTGTATGATGGCTACCGCCACAAATGCATACCTAAAATATTTCCTACCACCAGTGATTAAGCAAATTATAAATTTTGCGGGTGCGATTTATATTAGGTACACTATGTTATTCATCGTGAAAGTCAATCACAAACGACTACGAATATTCTTTCATTAAATAAAAAAAATCAATTAAGAAAATGGGGTGTTTAATTATGTGCAACAACCAATTAATAAAGTCGGACATTTACTCGTTGATGTCATGGCTTTTAATTCCTGGCTTTAGCCTCACCACCAAACGCCGAGTAGCGTCTCTCACGGATGGCCCCAAGTGTTTAAATTTGACTTTTGCATGCGTCATTGTTAATCGTAATCTATTGTGAATCACTGTTTGTGAATGATTGACGTCAAGGTGTCAAGGTAAAGTGTGGATTGACAGATATAAGGTCGAAAAATTCAATTCTAGCAGATTTCCCGTCAGTATTTCGCTTATAAATATGTGTTTTATGGATATTTGGCCAAGTACCTATCAGCGGGGAGTGCTTTGAGAAATTATTCGAAATTATCCCTTCAATTCTTTATTGCTATCGCACCTCTCGTCACCAGAGCAGAGCTAATCCCTACTATATGGAATCGTCACGTTCATCTACTTGCGTTTCTAGAGACATTTCTTGCCAGGCTTTGGACTGAACTTCCCTTCTGGTGTTTTACGAGCGCTATGACAAATCCTTCTTCAAAGACGTTCATGGAGAGTAAGTACTTAATGGGAGGCAGCGGCCTAGCTATGCCCCTGGGATTTCTATCATCCATGAGCGACGCTGATCTCAACATGAGGTGGGCCGTTTGCTCTTCTGCCTACAAAGGCTATAGAAAAAAAAAAAAAAAAAGAATGTCTCTTTCGATCTTCCCAATAGCGTTCGTAATTGTCCGTTTCTTGTTGTCAATACTGGTGCTGACACAGAGCATGATGAAGTTCAGTTTTTTATCGCGGCGGGCTTGGAATAGCACAAATCAAGTGTTCTAGCAAATGAATATACCTAATACTAACTTTCCAGCAGATATCCTATTGTCTAGTGGACGATATCATTGTTTATCTATCTCGTTATTGACTAACTGTCGAGGTACACAGTCGAATCGTGTCCTTTTACAAAGAGAACCCGCTTAATAACAATGTATTATGTATATTATTACCGACGGTCTTGAGAGTCATCACGGATATTCCGTACGGGTAGGTAGAAAAGTCGGTCAGCCGTTTTATTTTACAATTGAGACAGACCTCATGTTCGTTCGTTTTGAGGTTTGTGGACTCCGGTAACCAAATACACCAGAAGGGCTGTGGGTTTGTAAGACAAAAATGTTTTTGCAACATTAAATTCTAAACGTAAATATGTATAAATATGAAAATATTGCATACAGTGACCGTCACCTCGCGACTTTATACCTATAACTTTGTATCATGTAACATTGGCAGTACTTAACGACCTACCAATCAGATACATTTTGTATATTTATATCGTATAAAATTTAATGGGTGATAAAAATATCGGCTGTGCGGCAACCCTAGAAGTTCAGTGTAGGGGGCCACGTAGCTGCCCTGAAAAACGGATGGAGCGCTTGAAAAATATACAGTACCAATTGGAACCTTGCAACTACCCTACCTCCTGGTGAGTTCTTCAATTTTCTACATTTTTATTTATTGTACTACTTTAGCATTTTCTTTTAACTGAATGCTGATTCTATCCTTTTTTTTGTGCCCAATAATTTGGTCCCAATTTAATTAATCTTTATTTTATTGTTCGGAAGTGTTAATTGAATATACTTTTAGCTTTCAATTGTTAGTCAATGTCTTCTTCGAAATGTCAAAGTAAAGTTCCAAAATATTATAAATCAGTACCGTATGTTTTAAGAGCATATTTTAAACTTCAAACGCAAAGTCAAACATGTCTGATTATTTGAGGCTTTTTTTTTATTGAGGATTATTTGAGATTTCTAATTACAAAATCATTGACAAATAATTTTTTTTTTTATGGGAATTAATTTAAAAAAAAAACTAGTCACATTAAACAGTGCTATCGTGAAATTGAGGTGTTCCATACCATCTGGAATTACTGCTTTGTAAGAGACCGTCTTACTATCCGGCTTTGGAGCGTGCCTCGGTTTTTTTATAAGCTTAAAGCTTGAAAGAGAGTCTTCAGTAGGCAGCGGACTGTCTTTGGCATTGTCGTTGTCAATGGGGGACGTTTAGCACTTACTATCGGGTGGGCCTTATGCAACTAAAAAAATAGGGTGAGATTTCCTTCCAAAGTATCTGAACTTGTATTGCTATCTAGGTCTAAAGTGAGTGAAACATCATGTAGATATACTAGTTACGAGAAATATTTCTTTCGGTTTTTGCGACTTCTAGACATATTTAAAACTAGGTAGGTACTTTTACATTTTAATTTGACTTAAACTTTAATTTTCGTGGTCGCGGACCACTATAGGGTCATTCGTCGAAATTTGAATGCTGTGATAACTGTTTTCTATACTTAATACTTAATATACTTAATTAATTAATTAATTACTAGATGATGACCGAGCTTTGCTCGGTTTTTTTTTTGATAACGCCATCTTGTTGTGTCTTTAAAGCGGTTAGTTGCCCTCAATTAAGAAAAATAGTATTATTATTCGCCAATAGATGTCGGGAAGAGTTGATTATTGAAAACACGAATAAAACAACATTTTCTGAAAATAAATCGTAGCTAGATCGATTTATCACCCCCGAAATCCCCTGTATACTAAGTTTTATGAAAATCGTTGGAGCCGTTTCCGAGATTCAGATTATATATGAGTCGACTATTATCAAAGCCGGCAATCTGATTTTTGGACAATGATTGGTAAATCAGAAAAACGAATTATTGACTTTGTATTCCATTGGCAGTCACAAAACTCTTCGGAACGACATCTTAGATAAATAACAGGTTAACTATTAACCTTTATTTAATGCAGGTTTTGAACCGTATACTTTGAAGGAGACGATTATATTCAAATCAATCTGTATTGACATATCAATAAAAATTGTTTGTCCAAATGCACAGATTGCCACCTTTGATAATAGACGACTCATATATATTAATATACAAGAATTGCTCGTTTAAAGGTATAAGAATTAATCTATACTAATATTATAAAGAGGAAAGATTTGTTTATTTGTATTAAATAGGCTCCGAAACTACTGAACCGATTTGAAAAATTCTTTCACTGTTTCGAAGCTACACTATTCGCGAGTGACATAGGCTATAATCTTTTTTGAAAAAATTAGGGTTCCTTACTAAAACTCCAATAATGTAACTCTAGGTGTAAAAAAAATTCCTAAAATATTCTTTACATCGCGTGCCCCGCGAAATCTATTACTGATAGATTAAAATAATGTACTACGAATTTGTAGAACACATTATTATTTACAGAAAGTGTCGCGACAGCATATGTCTAACTATTATAGTTATGCCGCAATAAGTGTTCTTTTATTTAAAAAAATAAAACGTCAAATTTCGTTGAAATTTTTGTTAAAGACCCGAGCGGAGCCGGAGCGGGCCGCTAGTCAGAAATAATTTGAACCCTAAAGTAGTTTTAATTGCAGAGTAGGTAAATTAACATAATAAAACAGAGAGAGAGAGAGTGTGGAGAGTATTAAACGGTAGGCAGCGGCTTGGCTCTGCCCCTGGCATTGCTGACGTCCATGAGCGACGGTAACCACTCACCATCAGGTGGGCCGTATGCTCGTCTGCCTACACGGCAATAATAATAAAAAAAAAAAATGTTCGACCTCACTCAAATTTCAATCGAATAAAATATTGTTTATTGTGAACTCGGTCTGTAATTTCCGCTGTCGGCACGTCGACGTCAGGTCGACGACCTCGAGGAGTGTTCAGCTGTGAACGCGTGCGAAAATCAAACGGGCAAGCACGTCGGCACGCCGTATCGAGCACGCTTCGTGGATCGCAATAACATTCCGACAGTGTTGACTTTGACTAGAAATATAATATACTAGCGGCCCGCTCCGACTTCTCTAGGGTTTTTAACAAAAATTTCAACGATATTTGACGTCGTTTTATTTTTTTAAATAAAAGAACACTTATTGCGTCATAATAGTGAGACATATTATTATGTTGTGGGGACACTTTTTGTAAATAATAATGCGTTCTACAAAGTCGTAATACATTATTTTAATCTATGATGAATAGTGTTCGCAGGGCACGCGATGTAAAGAATATTTTAGGTAATTTTTCATACCTTGGGTTACATTATTGGAGTTTTAGTAAGGATACCTAATTTTTTTCAAAAAAAATTATAGCCTTTGTCACTCGGGAATAGTGTAGCTTCCAAACCATCAATATATTCGATGTTCCAAACGTTGAAATAATATTTCAAATCGGTTCAGTAGTTTCGGAGCAAATAGGCTTATAATTGAATACAATACAAACAAACAAACAAATCTTTCCTCTTTATAATATTAGTATAGAAGTATAGATTAATACGTGAAGGAAAAACTTTGTATCTCTTTTTACGAAAATTGCGCGGACGGAGGAGTATGAAACTTCCCACGCTTATAGAGAATATAGAGAAGGAGTGCAGAATGTAATTTTTTTTTTAATTATGCCTATAAAATACATTAAATCGATAAGAAAAACATTACACACACTACCATCATTACCGTGTATTTGACGCACATACGCAAGCATACTATTTAATTATTGTCAAACGTTTGTTCTTGACGTCTGTGATGAAATTGAGAATGGATTAAATATTGTTTGTCTTTATTAATATTTTTCCATAGTGTATTCTTGGCAAAATTTGTGATTATAAAAGTATAATAGTCTTTGAAGATAGAATCATAATAGTGTACAAACTTACAATTTCAATTAATTATAGTCGAATTTCGACCACTGCGGGACCACTAGTAATCATTATTTTTTCGTCTTAAACATGCATAAATCACCAATGGTCAATTTTGTTGACAGCACGAAGGTTTCATTGCCGAAAAAAATCCAAATACAAAATGGCGTAGATGAGAGCAATTTGCGCAAAATTAGCAGCAAGCAACCAACCAAAAATTTATACAATATCCACGAATACTCGTCAATTAATTTAAACCTGGCCACATTATTAACATATTTAATCAAAAGCTAAATGTCTTACAATAATTCACATTTTATGGGTTTCCGATGATATATCGGCGGTTTATGATCACGAAGTAGTCTCTAGGCTATACGCAACACAAAGTGTTTACACTGTTGAATTATATTCGTGCATCTTAACTAATATTGTTAAATAAATACTGTAGTTAGGTAGAGAAAAGTATGCTCTCATAATTTGTTAAGCCATCATAGGTACCTATGCTTCGGCTTCAAGTTTATCATCTTCAACACATATTAGAGTAGGGATCGACATAATTATCATCCTAATTTGACAATTAACAGACAATCTTAAAATGAATATCTACAATAATAATAAATTAGGTAGTTTTTTTAATGTAATCCAATGATAGAAAGTTTGAGTTTCGCGCCTTATTTCCCGGTTTACAGAAAAGAGTTGGTAATAGTAATGTTTATATAGATTATATGTACATACTTATAATATAGATTATATAGGAGCGAGAGAACGATATCTAACGAGAACGACACGCTTTAAATTAGAAAAGCTTCGTTTATTTTAATGACGTATGACCTCATTCCTTTTTGTTATGGATAACACTTTTGCAATGTTAAGAATATTAAGGACCATAATAGTTATATTTTTAATTGGCTTTTATAACCTAGTATCTATATATTTTATATATTTTATCCATCTTGTTTTGGCCCACACACACACACATTTTGGTGTTTGGAACCTCAAAGCATGGACAAAATGGTTGTTTACGTATAGGAAATAATGAAATTGAAGAAAAAGATGCACTTGCATAAAATAATATTTTATTTCTTTTGTTACAGATCTCAAAAGATAACACAAAATGTCTCTCGACGAGGTACGTAATGTGGACTAATAAATTACAACATAATTCATAGAATTCTTGATTTTAACGTTTCTACCCTACCCTTATCTTTACCCTTTCTTACATTTCAATATTAAGTAGATCGAAAATTTATAAAATATAATCGTTTTTTGTCTTTCAATGGTGAAATGAAATCATTTCATATTTTTACATGAAATTTTAAATATCAGAAAAATATAAACGCGAGATTAAACCGTAAAAGCGTAATTAATCTACTCACAAAAAGTACCATTAAAAATATTAGTATCAAAACGTATGTAAAGTAAAGTATCACCATGCAAATATTATAAACAAAATACTTAATTTTTAATTTACCTAGCTTATTCCAGTCGTAGTCACTAGGAGGAAAAAGTTAGCCATCGAGTTAGAGTTACCATAGAATATAATCGATATACAACCTAAGTGTAGCGTAAAATTACAACATTTATTACAACGTGAACAGTACGATATATTTTAAATAATAATTCAACGCCAATTCGAAGTTGCATCGTCCGTTTATTCAGCAGCCAGACATAAAAGCTAAAATTTGTTGTTTGACAAATACCTGATCTAAGCAAATACCATATGTAAAATCAGATATTTTTTTCTGAAAAGTTTGCGTCTTTAATAAATTAAAAAAATTACACATTCAATTATGTTACGTATATCTATTTTATCAATTGAAAGCTTGTACAGCCATTGTTCGGGGACCTTTTTATCGTAATACGAACTAGTCACTATTAGTGATGTATTAACAAATGAAAGTCTTCGATATATTTAACAATAATGACGGCAAATCTGGCACTGCTGCTCGACCTCCCCGGTCGGAGACTTAGAGGAAAACCCAAGACACGGTGAAAAGATGTAGTGCTGAAGGAAAAATGGAATGCAATGTTACTGACTAGGACGTTGAAGACAGAGTGAAGGGGAGGAGTAGAATAAGGAAAGCTGATCCAATCACCATTTGGGATAAATAGCTAGAAAGAGAGAGAATCACGGCAGAGTTTCCCGGTTTCCTTTTTATAAGATAATCTTATACCCGGGCTAAACGATATCCTAAACTTACACTATGCCTCAATATCTATTATTTAGAAAAGAAACAAAAAGGCTTTAATCGTATTGCGTAACTAAAATGAAATCAGTTCTAAATTTAAAATTTCAAAATTTCTATTCCTTCCATTGTCTCTTATAAAATCTTTTATCTTTTATCAAATACCTAAGCTTAATTATTATGTCTTCTATTTTTTTGTATTGATGTCCGGGACCAAAGTTCTATAGCTTATCAACTTATTGCAATACGAACGCTATCTATAATTCTAATATCATTCTAGTATCACTTAATCAGTATCATCAATATTATTGTGACAGATATAGATTAAAAAAGTAAGCTAACCTTAACATACTTATTACGAGATAAAACTATGGAAAGTTTAACAAATAATATATTTATTATATTAAATTATATATATATTTATTATTTGTTAAACTATGTGTAGTGCCAAAAAAAGTGGTTTGTCTCGATGAGAGCCCCAAATTATTTAGATTTGTTTTAATTTTGACCGAATTTCTTGTTTCAGCAATTCAAACAGGTCGCCGATAAGGTTAGGAACTGGAAGACCAAGCCCAGTGACGATGAGAACCTTGCGCTGTACTCCCTGTACAAGCAGGCTACCATAGGTGATGTTAACATTGGTAAGTATTCGAACCTTTTTTTCGTAACTGCACCAATAGTCCAAAGTCAAACATTAGCTCGAATTTATCGGCGTAAGCTTGCTGCTATAATACAACCATCAGCCACGCTTTTGTCAATCTTTTTATGCGAACACAAACACCAAGTGGCCCGTAATTTTGTTTGCCGATATAAACGATTTTTGTATGGGTTACAGCCTGACATATCTGTAGGTTTAGGCACTTAAAAAGGCCCTAAGCTAAAACACGAAAGTACGATTTAGTTTTTATCTATTGTATATGAACAGTTTTCTTCTTCTTTTCGGTCATAGCGTCATTGTTGATGATCGTGAGTCTTCTGTAGTCTTCTCACAATTTCTCTCTATTTTTATCTTTTGCCTGGTTGACCGGCATTTCTATTTATTTATGGAGTCTCCTGGTTGGGTCCCTCGCTTTAGACTTTGGCCTCCAAGTTTTTCCTTCTATTTTATCGGTAACCATGAGCTGTTCCAGACTACCAGAGTTCCTACGTGCTATATGGCCGAAATATCGCAGGGCACGATGAGGATATAATTAAATAAGTTAACTGCATTGGCAGTCTTCTATGAGAGTTTATACATTTGTTCAAAACGTTTTAATTTTTTAATTAATCTAACATGACTTTATTGTTTTTAACATCATTAAGTTTAGCAGATATCGCTTTGTTTTTTGTGAATAAAATTATATTTTATGAGATATAATAACTGCTGATTTTTCGCGTGTTTTTTAATGTTTTCTTACCAGTTTTAACAAACTAATAATAAAACGCAAAATCGAATTTAGACATTTAGTCACTTTTTAATTTTTAATTTTTTAAATTTTACATTACAAAACTTAAGCTTTTTAATTTTAGTAGTAACAGTAGATTAAATTTACATTAGACATTTCGAATACCCATTTCAATATGTTAATGCCAATATTGAATATGTTTCAATATGACCATTTTTAGATTATTTATAATTATTCCGAATTATCATTAAACAGTGTTGATACAGATGTTTCTAGATTATTTAATCAAACACAGTTTATGTAATGTATTTACAGAACATAAAAATTTACGATCGAAAGAAATTTAATTCGGCTACTGTTTCAATTGGTACCTATTAAAATTTTGACTATTTTGGGAAATGATCATTTTAAAAACCTAAACAGCATATCTAAACAGTTCCTGTAATTTCAATTACGACTGTACCGAAGAACAGATGATGATGGGATAAGGGATAATATAATAATACTAATGATGGTATTTCCCGAACATTTTACATTTTAATTTAACAATTTCAAGTAGACCAAAAAAAGCAATATATTAATATATATGAAATATATGAGAGTAACATTTACATACACTTCACTACATAGTATAAAACAAAGTCGCTTTCTCTGTCCCTATATCCCTATGTATGCTTAAATCTTTAAAACTACGCAACGGATTTTGATGCGGTTTTTTTAATAGATAGAGTGATTGAAGAGGAAGGTTTATATGTATAATAGCATCCATTAAATAGTGGAGAAATCGAGGAGAAATGAAGCGAGGGCTGGTCGCTAGTCTATTATAAAATGTCTTTCGTCTGGGCGTGCTTTTCTGCAAAGGCCTTCTCTAACTCTTTCCACTGCTTTTTGTCTGCTGCTACTCTTATCCAAAGAAGTCCAGAGGTAATTTTTAGTTCAACTTCCCATCTTCTTGGTTTGAGACTTGGCTCCTCGAACTATCCCATGGGTGGTGGATGCAATAATATACTGATGGAACAATTTATCGAAATTCTTCTTTCTGTTTCAGCCCAGCCCAGCGGTCTTGTGGAGAGCGCCAAGTGGAAGGCATGGAACAGTCGCAAAGGCATCTCCCAAGACGATGCCAAGAAGCAATACATCGAAAATGCGGAGAAGCTCCACTCCAAATACGCATAAATTATTACTTAGAATTAAATAAATTTCCTACTTAAATTATGCTCTTTCTCACGATTTTCTTAAATAAATTAACAAAATAATATTCTGTCTAGTTTCTATTTCACCTGTTATTATAGAGTACCCAATACGCCCATTACTGGTATTAGGTCGCTTTGTGGGCCCGGATGGGTAGGTATCACCCCCTTATCTTTTGCCACCAATTAGTCATGCATTCGAGTTTGAAGAAGTGGGCACCTGTTATGTTATACAATACAATTGAGGTTTAGACTTCGTAAAACACACTACATATTGATTAAGGGGTTCGCACCACGTTTTTGACATTGTTTTTATTTTTATTGCTTTGATGCGTGGGCGAGCTCACATCCATGGTGGTACCCGTGCGGACCCACAAGAGGTCTTACCACCAGTATTTACGCAAATTATAATTATTGCGGGTTTGATTTTAATTACATGATGTTATTCCTTCACCGTGGAAGTCAATCGTGAACATTTGTTAAGTATGTATTTCATTAGAAAAATTGGTACCCCCCTGGGGGATTAGAACACCGTTGCATCGCTACATACGAATGCAGCGGACGTTTTATCCTTTAGGCCACGACTAACCAAATAACAGGTAATAATACCAGGTATCTATTTCAGAAGGACCTTCAGCCTGTAAAGGTTGTCAAATATAGTCCTGGATGAGTTAATTTCATTAATAGTTTTGAAAAAACAAAAGGCACAGGGTTTCGTTGTGGTTGGCGTTAGGACTTACATGATCAAAAATAAGTATTATTACTTCATTGATATATTTTATATAAACCCAAGATGCACAGTCTCAAACAAAAATAGCACTCGAAACCGTCATTAAGCACTCACCAATTATACCTACGTAGTTATAGTTATGCTATAAACATATCTTTTGCAAATTCAAAGTTGCTATTACAAAGTAGATATGTGTCGTTCGCGAACGAACGAATCAAACGACCCGGGTCTCAAAATCCGCGTGAACGATAGGATCACTTCAAAAAATATGAGTCGTTCACTAGATCGACTCGTTTAACCAAACCTACGAATCAGAAGAAAAGAACCATACAGTCATTCGGGTCATTTCGGGTTTCCGTGTCTCGCCCCGCGCCCGTCTCGGTTAGTCGTTCGTTGTCGCATAATGACGCATAACGCATTTGAAATGTTTTGATCTCACGTAAACAATCGAACTATAACAGTTCCTTTAAACGTTCGACTGAACGGGTCGTACGAACCGGATCATTTTGTCAATAGGTCAGTATTGATCTGAATCTCTAAAATTGAACGAACGACACATATCTATTACAAAAGCAGTGTACAATAAACAATAAAATTTTATGACCGAAGTTAGCCAGCAGGACAGGGCATGGTGTGAAGACGAATATTTGTATATTTTTTTTTAATAAAAGACATTGAATTAGTATTTAAGAGTTAGTTAAATTGTGTTCTAAACTCATAATTGTACTTTTATCTGAGCGTAAATATATTTTTGGGTAGGACATGTGTACCTACATCAATCTTTAAATCTTTTCTTTAAAAGTTTTAACGCATTCTTAAGTAAAATGGTCTTTTTAACAAGTCTAGAATTTTTCTTTCTTAAGTTGTTAATGAGTTTATCCTTGCTAATTAGCCTTCTGCGGAATTTGTGGAGTTCACTTGTTATGTCTACTTTTCGTGGTGTATCCGTGGTGGATCTTTCGGTGGTGTGTATATGTAAAATTAAGCCTGTACTCAGGGATGTAGTAGGAGATTTGACTTCCTTATTTTCTACATCAGACATTGAACATGTACGACAGACTTCAGTATCACCGCCATCATCCGGTATTTCAATCTGTAATCAACATCAAAATAATAAGTATTTTCTAGCATACCAAATAATAGTCTATGATACGGGCGGCACTAAGGTTCCATTCGTTCTTCACCGTAGTTACTTACAAACTCGAGGTCCTGTGCTGATATATCCTGTAAATAATAATTATGATTAGAGAAATATTATTAGAATGTAGGTACGATATTATTAAAATTTGATAAACTAGCGACCCGCCCTCGCTCGAAACTGTAATTAATTATTGATTTCTCCACTATTTAATGGATGTTATTATACATATAAGCCTTCCTCTTCAATTACTCTATCTATTAAAAAAACCGCATCAAAATCCGTTGCGTAGTTTTAAAGATTTAAGCGTACATAGGGACAGACAGATATAGGGACAGAGAAAGCGACTTTGTTTTATACTAAGTAGTGATTAATTTTTCTGGCTAACGACTACGTAACTTACCGGTACACTAGGAACAGCCGTTTTAAGAAGACGCTTTATGCCTTTTGCACTGACATACATGACTTTGTCCAAAAAATGCTCAGAGCAAACGACGTTAGAACTATTTGGCTTAAAAAAATCTTGACGCCTTTCTTGACTGACGATTGATGTCCATTCTCCGCATCGTATTGGATCACGAGGAAAACTAAAATATAAAAATCTATACTTAGTCTGGCCATAAATACTGTTACAATAAAAAATAAATAAAAAAATCTATTGCAAATAACATTTATTACTTTTACAGTGTGTTAGTTTCATACATAAATATAAAACAATTTAAAGTATAAAAAGCTTATTCGAAGTGGTCTCCATTGGCTGCAATACAGTCCTTTAAACGTTGAGGCCAGTTATCAATAGAAGCACGCACTCTTTTCATAGGAAAATTTTTCACTGCCAATCGTACGGATTGCTTTAGGGACTCCAAATTATCCTGGCGTTTAGAGCAAGCCGTACTCTCTAAAACTGATCATAAATCATAATCCAGCGGATTAAGATCGGGACTAGACGACGGTCAGTCTTCAGCTTTGATGAAGTCCGAAACGTTAGTTTCCAACCAAGACTGCGTAGACCGAGCTTTATGACCTGGCGCGGAGTCTTGCTGGAAGGACCATTCTTGATTATTGAACATGGTGTTGTTAAGGGGCTTCACTACCTTCTCAAGAATGGTATCTTGATACACTTGTGCCGATGTTTTGATACCTTTTTCACAAAAGTATGGCTCAGTCACTCCTTCATAGGTAATACCCCACCAAACCATCCCTGAAGTCGGAAAGTGCCCACGTTGCACTCTGTCGACTAATTGGGAAGCTTCCTTAGAGCTTTGAGCATAAATACGGTCATTTTGTTTGTTAAAATGTTGCTCAATTGTAAAAAAATTCTCATCCGTAAACAATTTTTTTCTATGACCTCCCTTTGCGTACCGCTTCAGTAGTAGTTTCGATTTTACCACCCTATTCTCTTTTAAATTATCAGTTAAGAAATGACCAGTACGTCTCTTATAGGCTGCAAGTCCTAAGTCATCGTAAAAAATATCGACTCCATTGTACAAGAACAGGGTCGTTTGGATTATGCGACTATAATAAATGATTAATCAAAAGTTGTTCTTACACTGAAAAACAATGCCATTGAAAATTGCCGTATTATACTTGGAGTGTTGATTTGAGGTTAAGAGTGAGTGAAGTTTTTAGACAAATTAAATCAAAATCACATATTGCTTTTTATATTTAATCATAAAAGCAACAAAGCAGCAAAACAAATTAACAAACTCTTTTACTTACCGAAAATACGATATCCCATCCTTTTTTAACGTTTTTGATGTAGTATTTTTACAATTTCTCATCGAACACTTCGGCATTTTTAACGAGTGCACGGAGACGCGAGCGGCGCGAGACTATTTGAAATGAGCGCATAATTTTAAATCGTGCTGTCATTTTATGTCCACGGTTTTGAGACGCTGAGTTTGTATCTTGGGTTTTATAATACATAAATGTACATATAACTTGTTTAAAATAAAGCACTCAAGAATTAATAGTTATGGTTATTACGGACAGTAGGTAATTAATAATGACAGAGTGACATAATGGACTACTAGGCTGCACTAAAAGTATCGGGAATGGAATATTTCCACTGTTCCTGTCATATTAAAATCTTTTTAATTGAAAACTCCTTGGTTTTAAAAATCGAATACCATTTATTTATTTAAAAAAAAGATTCTCGGTCTTGTCACGAGGTTTTGTCAAACTTGTTTAGTCGTTGAGAAAATGGAATTGACTCGAGAAAATTCAAGAGCGATGATTTATTATGACTTTCGAAGTGGTTTAACACAAAAACAGTGTGTTGACCGGATGATTTCTGCATTTGGTGATGAAGCCCCATCCAAAACCACAATTTATCGCTGGTTTGCTGAGTTTCAACGTGGACGTGTCAAGCTCAGTGATGATCCCCGTCAAGGTCGTCCAAAAACTGCAGTCACCCAAGAAAACGTTGATGCTGTGCGTAAGCTGATTGAGGAAGATCGACATGTGACATACCGCGAAATTCAGGCAACTTTAGACATTGGCATGAGTCAAATACAAATAATCTTGCATGAACAATTAGGTGTAAAAAAGTTGTTTTCCCGATGGATACCGCATTCGCTCTGTGAAGAGCAAAAAGCGGCTCGCGTTACTTGGTGCGTCAGAACTCTCGAAAGATTCCACGCAGGATCCTCAAATGCTGTATACAACATTGTATCAGGTGACGAATCCTGGATATACGCGTACGAACCCGAAACAAAAAACCAGTCACGAGTTTGGGTGTTCGAAAATGAGTTAAAGCCAACAAAAATTGTTCGTTCACGGAGTGTTGCAAAAAAAATGGTGGCCACGTTTGTCTCCAAAACCGGCCATGTTACGACTATTCCTCTTGAGGGACAAAGAACGGTTAATGCAGAATGGTATGCTAGCATTTGTTTGCCACAGGTCGTTTCTGAACTCCGTAAAGAGAACTGCAACCGCCGCATCATCCTCCATCACGACAATGCGAGTTCTCACACCGCGCACAGAACAAAAGAGTTTTTAGAGCAAGAAAACATAGAATTATTAGACCATCCGCCGTACAGCCCCGACCTAAGCCCTAATGATTTCTATACTTCCCTAAAATAAAGAATAAATTGCGTGGACAGAGATTTTCATCACCTGAAGAAGCTGTGGACGCCTACAAAACGGCCATTTTGGAGACCCCAACTTCCGAATGGAATGGTTGCTTCAACGATGGGTTCCATCGTATGGAAAAATGTGTCAAATTTCGCGGAGAATACTTCGAAAAGCAATAAATACATTTTTAAATAGTAATGTTGTGTCACTTCGTTAATTCCCGAAATTTTCAATGCCGCCCTCGCACTCTCTCCAAATATTGTATTATAAATGTCTTATTAAATATGAATTTTATTAACTTATTTGTTTGTTAATTATAGTATTATATTTTGATTTGCAATTTTTTTCTATCAATGTAACATGTAATCTTATGTTTTTCGAGTAATTAAAGTGTAAATTTAAAAATAAAAAATGGTATATAATAATTAAAAAAATATATTCGGATTCGAGTTTTTTTTCGATTTTTTGCATTTTCTGAGAAGATTTACTATAGTAACATAATTTTTTTTTTTCACCATCGGAAAGTAGAGATTTCAACGAGCAGAAAACATACCAACTTTTTGAAAAAAGCTGATATTTTGACGGGTGAATTTTCGATTGAAAATTAGGGTCCTTTTTCGATATTAATTCAAAATAAGGTGAAAAAATAAATATTTCTAATCAAATAAATTACAGCGTATTTGAGACATAAAAAGGTAAGTTTTCAATTTCGGGAAAAAATATTTTTTTTTGAAAAAGATAAAAATAAAAAACCAAAAACTTGGTTTTTTTTTATTTTTTACATAAATTTTGAGGTTATGTGAAAAAAGTGTAAATACAAAAGTGTTAGATCTTTTTATTACCTACAACTTTGCCATTTGACTTTTACTTTTGCCGGAAATCGAGAAAAACCGTTTTTTACCCTAAACCTACCCCCCCCAACCCCTTCCCGACTTCAGATCGCCCGTAAATTATTTTTCCTTTCATTTTTATAATATTCCCCTCCTTTTGTAATGGGTTTCATCCTACTATTTTTTTTTTTGGTTTTAAATATTATCGACACTGGTCTATAGACCTATAAACCTATACTTCAGTGGTTAGTTGTCGTTGTCATTGACGTCAGCTTATCGTCTTTGACTTTGAGTAGGTATAATTCGACTGATTTTTATGTGTATTATCTATGAACTCAGTCTAAAACTAGTGTTCGTTCGGGACGGGTGTATCGTCGTCTAACAAGTAGGTGACTTTCCATAATAATTAAAATAAAATGTCAAATTTTATTTCATAAATAACGTGTAGGTTAATGATTTATTATCGTTAATTTTACGCAACAAAAAGCATGAAATAGTCGCAGTTATTTGGCGAAAATAACATAACCGATTTCACCTTTCTACATTTCACTGAACTTGTTGGCGGTAATTGTCATATTTTTAATAAACTGTTGTTTGCTTTTAGGTTACCCACATTTGATCAATATGTCTCTCCAAGAAGTAAGTTTTTAAGTATTTCTCACTATAAATTTCATTAAAAAAATCTTATCTGACACCAAAGTTAGAGTGCAAAGTTCAAATAATACACTTTAAGTAGGTACTTGCAATACATACCTGCTTAAAATATGTATTACATAACAATTAATAATATTTTTTTAAATTAAATAGCATTTATCAACATAAAATCTGATTGATTCATTAAATACAGCAAAATTAATAATAAATTTGGAATTAGATGATTTATAACATGGTTGCAATCAAAAGTTGAACATAAATATACAAACAAAATTAGAAATGAAATATACCCAGCCCCCCAAAATTTAATATAATAAAATATGTTTAAAAATAAACAAAACTCAACTAGGATACTGACATTTTGTTTGCGTTTAAAAGACATTATTTGATTGATTTTTGAGAATATTTCTTCCATTGTACACATTAACAAACATACTTGCAGTTTATAGTCATAGTTGAGTCGACTATTATCAAAGCCGGCAATGTGACTTTTGGACAATTATTGGTAAATCAGAAAAACGAATTATTGACTTTGTATTCCATTGGCAGTCACAAAACTCTTCTGAACGGCATCTTAGATAAATAACAGGTTAAGTATTAACCTTTATTTAATGCAGGTTTTGAACCGTATTCTTTGAAGGAGACGATTATATTCAAATCAATCNTGAGTCGACTATTATCAAAGCCGGCAATGTGACTTTTGGACAATTATTGGTAAATCAGAAAAACGAATTATTGACTTTGTATTCCATTGGCAGTCACAAAACTCTTCTGAACGGCATCTTAGATAAATAACAGGTTAAGTATTAACCTTTATTTAATGCAGGTTTTGAACCGTATTCTTTGAAGGAGACGATTATATTCAAATCAATCTGTATTGACATATCAATAACATTTTTTTGTGCAAATGCACAGATTGCCACCTTTGATAATAGACGGTTCAGTTAGTCATCTTCACGTTTCGCGAGACTTCAATACAATTAAAATTACATGGATGGTTTAATACTTTAGTTTTTGTGTTAGTTTTACTTAGGCTTGAAAACTGCAAACTCTTCAGAAATAATATAATGACAAATAAAATATTAGATTAAACTGTAAAAGTAGTTGTAGTCAGTTTGTAATCTAAATTTGGGTGGTTGATTAATGTTATGTTTACGCTTACATGAAACATAAACTGAACTGTAGTATCTCATCGGCATTGAATAAATATATCATCTGATAGAGCTCCGAGAGAAGTATTTTGCAAGGACCAAGAAGGTGCATTGTCCTTTATCTTAAAAACCAGTTTTGGTGTATGTTGATTTGTATGCCAAATGTGAGCATTAACATTGTTTTCAGTGTTAGGTATAATAAATAAGGAATTGAATTTTTTAAATATTCAACATTTACAAGACAGTAAGAAGTATGAATCAGTATGTGGATTGTAATATTAATTAATTAATTAATATTAATTAATTAATTAATATTAATTAACTCGAAATGACTTTTTTTATGAGAAGTTGGTTTCTTTTATCTATTTCAGTAATGAAAATTATCCTTGAGATTACTGCCATTATTCAGTAAACACAAAAAATATGTTGATAGAAAAATTTACCTTATTTTTTGCACATTCTCTGCTTATATATTTTATTAACTTTTTTTTATTTTATTAGCTTTAATTTTTTTCAAGGGTCTTTAATTCACACTGGAAATATTCAAATAAAATAAAGACAAGATCCGGGTTTGCTATTGAGCAGCTGTATAACATTCTTTCCTTTCCAGAAATTTGACCAAGCCGCAGCCAACGTGAAGAACCTGAAAGCTCTTCCAACTGATGCCCAACTCCTTAACTTGTATGCCCATTTCAAACAGGCCACAGTTGGAGATGCCGATCCAGCCAGTTAGTATTCATGACAATGTAATTAACCGTATAATTTATAGTGTACAAAAACAGCTATCAGCTATGGGCAGATCAATTGTAGGTATGCCACTCTGATGCTGATCCTCCAGGAAGGAATATGCTCATCACCACACTGTATTTGGTTTGACCAAAATATTTTACCGCTTCAGGTGTTGCCCTTGCATTAAAAAAAAGTGGTCAAATTTTAATTTGTAGTAAAAGTTTCAGCTGGGAGGGATTAAGTCGTCGTGGCCTAAAGGATAAGACGTCCGGTACATTCGTATGTAACGATGCAACCGTGTTCGAATCCCGCAGGCGGGTACCAATTTTTCTAATGAAATACGTACTTAAGAAGTGTTCACGTTTGCTTTCCACGGTGAAGGAATAACATCGTGTAATAAAAATCAAACCCGCAAAATTATAATTTGCGTAATTACTGGTGTTAAGACCTCTTGTGAATCC